TAGACACAAAAATTTAAGTTTATAAATTTATTAGACATTTTTAAATTCAAGAACTTATTAGATTACACAAAATTGAAAGTTCATAAATTTAATATTAAACACCTTTTAAGTTTAAGGATATATTAGATACAAAATTAAATTTTAAAGACCAATTAGACACGTTTTTAAGTTCGAAGATCTATTAAATACACAAACCTAAAGAAGTTCATAGACTAAACTTTTAAGCAAGGAGGAGAGAGATTGAACACCAAATTTGTATTGTTCTTTTTTTTTTTTTCTATTTTCATTTTGTATTGGAGAGCATAGAAATGATTAGTGTAGTTATCCATTCCATTGATCAACTACCACCGGTCAATTCCGCTCTGAGGTTTTCGTAAAATTAATAATCCAATTTTCAGTTAGGACCCGTTTGATAACCATTTCTATTTTTGATTTTCGCTGTTTTTTAGTTTTTGGTTTTATGTTTTTAAAAAACAAAAAATTATATATGTTTGATAACCATTTTTTGTTTTTTGTTTTTAAAAAACAGAAAACTTGGTAACCATTTTTAATTTTTTATTTTTAAAAATTAGAAAATTAAAATTACATATTAGATAGAAAATTCTATGTAAAGTAGAGATGACAAGAGTGTGAGTACGAGTAAGAATGCTCCCCCATTTTTCGTCCCTATCTCCATCTCGTTATTCCGTTCAAAAGATATTCGCAAGAAAAATTATAAGTTTTATAATTGTTTTTAATTATTTTTAGAATTTAAGTATAAAAAAATGAAATTGGGGATGGGATCGGGACATGCAATTCCTATTTTTGGGACTCGACCCTCCAAAAATTTTTGTCATCCCTAATGTAGAGACATGGAAATTCAGGTTTAGAAAGATGTAAATAAACTTTTGGAAGATAAAATTTAGATAGATAAATAAAAAAGATTTAGAAAAATTAGTAAAAGAAAAGTTAAAAGACAAAAAAGAGAAAAAAAAAAAAGTAAAGTTGAGAGAAAAAGATATGTTAAAGAAAAAAAATTAGAAAAAAAGAGAAAAATTAGAGTGGAAACAAATTTAAATATAAAAACAAGATTCAAAACATAATTTTTAAAGAAAATAAATAAATACAGAGATAAATAAGAGATAAATAAAAGTTATAGTGAAAGAAAATTGAACGACAAAAAAAATATAATTTTCAGAGGAAAAAATAAATTAAGAGGAGAAAGAAAAATTATAAAAAACAAAATTTTAGAGAGAAAAAAATTATGAAAAATATTAAATTTTTAGAGATAGAAATGAAATTGATCTATTAGAAAAAGAAAATAAAAAATAAAAATAGATAGAGCCAAACACTAACAAATATTCAAAATATGAAAATTTTAGAGAGAGAAAAATAAAAGTTATAGAGAGAAATTTAGAAAGAAAAGATTTTAGAGTGAGAAATAATTTTTTTTAGAAATAAATATGAAAAAGAAAAAAAAATGTTGAGTATTAGAATAAAAATTCAGATTTTGAAAAAAAATTTCTTTTTTTTTTAAATTTATGTAGAATTTCAAAATAGTTTTTGAAAAAAAAAATAGAAAACTGAATTGGGAAATGGTTATCAAACGCGCCTTATTAATCGTTTTTTAACGATTATTAGTGTAGTTATTCATACTAATAATTGATTTTTTCAAATTAATAACTCTTTTTTTTCTATTCAACAACACAAACTCCCCACCTTTTTAATCAAACTAGTGCATTATGACGTGATTGCACGTGCAATACACGTAATAAAAATATGATTTTATTCATTATAAAAATAATTTATTTAACTAAATTAGTATGGACTTTAAATTTATAGAAATATTATAGTTACGTTAAATATATTTTATTATTTATAATGACCGTAAATGAATGGAAGATGTGAAATTACGGTGGGAGGAAACTAAAAAATTATAAACCTTTCAACATTCCAAAATCTTGACATTGTACAATTAAATATTGTCATATATAAATATTTAATTATACAATTAATTTATGTAAATGAATACAAAACTTTTTACCTTATAACTTTTCATGTACATTCACTTAACCGTTTAGGTGCATATACATTGCATTATCCCAATACAACATTTGTAATGACATTGTTTTTAATATAACAATTAAAAATATATAAATATTTTTATATTTTAATTTTTAAAAAATAAAATTTACGTAATTTAAGCTTTTTTTTTTGTTATATGTTTTCAACCTCACTAAAGAAGATTTATTTTACTAATTATATTTATAATTATACTAATTATTTGAAAGTCTATAAGTTCCTAGGAATGAAATAGAAAAACTTTTTTTATTTTAATTTTTTAGATTGCTTACCTAATGAATTGATTAATTAATTAATTTACTATTTGTCATTAATTAAAAAATTCGTAAGGTATTGACTTACATGATTTTATTTTATTTTTTTCAAAAAATTGAACATAAACTTGTAATTATGATCAATAAGTTCACCAAACATTTAAAATAAAAAAAAATATATACTAAAAGGAAAAAAAAACAATATCAACTATTAGACTAAGACCTTAGCTACAGACTCATATACAAAGTAGAAATGTAATGTCACTAACCTAAGATCTGAGTTATAGATCCAACATGTAATCTTTCAACTTGAATATGCCACCAACATGTTGAGATGTATTTGAAAATCCAAGAGTTCTCCGAGAGCAAGTCTAGGATTCGAGATATAGATCTAACATCTATTTTCCTTGCAACTTGAATATATCATCAACATCTTGAAATATATTTGAAGATTGAAGAGCTTTTTGATAACAATGAATTTAGAATGCTAAAAAGAAGAATAAATGGATCTCCAAGTGTTTGTGAACAAAATTGTAGAAGAAAACTCATATTTATAGAGTAATAGATGGTCAAAAGTTACATAACATTATAAATTCCATTATAAATTAGAATTAAATGAATTTTTTAAAGTTGTATAAAAGACCTTTTGCATTCCAAACCTTTTATATTCCATATATTTAATTTTATTGATAATTAATTATTAACTAATTAAATTTTGTAGAAAATGCCTTTTGCATTCCAACTTTTTATATTCCATATAGTAATTATTAACTAATTAATTTACTATGTTTAAAAAAGGATAAAATAATTAATTTATTTTTAAAATTAATTAGTAGTGGCACGTCTAATAATTTAAAAATTAAGGGTCATATTAGTCCAAAAATGTTTTTCTAGGATTGTCCCTTTTTAATATAGTATAGATATAGATATAGATATGACAATTGAAATATACCCACGTTGACAAATTAATAATTTATTACATTTAAACTTTTATATATACTATATTACACATGTTTAATAGAATATTAAAGGACTTTGTCTATTCGAGAAATGATTTTATAACGTGACATTGACATCGTCTATCCTTAAGTAAAATCGTCTATTGAAGAGATAATTTCAATACAACGTGCCAAAATCGTCTCTTGGATAGATTATTACAGAGGGGAGAAAAAGAATCAATTAACAAAGGAGAGAGTGAAAAATTCAAAAAATTCAAAAGTGTCTAACAACGGGACATTCAAAGAAGCTAGGCACCTTTGATTTTAGGCGAGAGGAGAAAATTTTCGATTCAGAGGGAGAGAATCTGTCTTCCAAAATTTCTTAATTTTCCTTCTCTCCCTCTGCCCCCAATTTGGGATTCTCTCATACTTTAAATTCGCCATTAGTTTATTATTATTTTTTTTCTTTTTGAAAATCAACACTTCCATTCATTAAGTTGTCGATGTCACATAAGGTTCGTGCAAATTAAAGGTCTCCCTTCTAGCCATACATAATAGCTACGGACAAAAATCATACATCCACAAGAGTGAAACATTGTTACAAGTTACTTACTTTCATGCTTCTTTCGACTTGGGCAATGACACCTCCAACACAATGCTCAAGTACATTCATCGAGATCGCTCTCCCTCTCCCTCTCAATTAGATTCAAGTTTGTCCATAGAAATGGAAAGTAGCAATATCTTGGGAAGACAAAATTGGGGCATTGGAAGAACCGCAAACGTCATCGTTTGGGGTTCGACCGACGAAAGTATTGAAGAAATCATTAATTCTAGGGGCATTGGAGAGATTTGAAAAGAGAAGATTGATGTTAGACTGATCATTGTTATTCTGGGTGAAATTGTTGGGTAAGCAACTACGATATGGATATGAAACTAACTATGAGCGTTTCTACGAGGCATGGATAACGAAATTAAGAGAATTTAAGTAAAGTTTGTTGCTTGGGTTGAACACAGTAAGCAGCACAAGACTCAAACAGAAGATCTCATGATAGGTGATACTACAAGACTTCATGTCTTTCCCACTACACCATCCCAATAAACGAATTTCATAATTGTTGAAAGGTTTATTTATGTAACGAGATTTTGGGAAAAAAATCATAGAAAAAAGAAAACAGAAAAGAGGGAGAGGGAGAGAGAAGAAGAACATGGTTCGAGAAAGGATAGTAACATAGGCAAAAGGATAGAAACCTTTATTTTACAAAAAGTTGACGGATTTAATTTTTGCCTAATATTTTGGGTCATTCAATCCAAAAACTCACTTACGTCCTTAAAAGTCAAACATTCAAATCTCTATACCCACATTTTGAGCTAAAAAAAATAGTATATGTATGTATCATAGCTCTACAAAAACGGCGTCCTTCAATCTATAACCATTCAAAAGACCTTATTAAATAAGGACAGCCCAAAGTATAGGTCATATGTTAGCTCTTTCTTACGGGTATTTGCAGTTGGATTTGGTTTGATTGAGATCCAAATTACAATCAAACCAACTTAAAAATATATATAAAATAAAGCAAAAGAATCGCGCCAAATCAAAGTTGGTCGATTCTGAACCGTAAACCAATGGTTGGTCGATTCAGTTTGCAACTTCACGGGCAAAAGCAGCAGGTTGTGGTGTGGATACTAGGTCGAGGGAGTAATCTTTTGTTGGTGTTGGTTTTTTTCGAAGGGAGACAGTCAGACTCAGTTTGCAATTTCTATTTCAGCTTCTAAGTTCTTTTAAGTTAGATACATCACTTGGTATATGATAAGATATTAAATTATGTACCTGTAGCAATAATGTAAGAATGGGCAGATGATTTATTCTCACGTGCCAACAAAAGGGCCACGTGTGGAGATGGGAGGGCCATACGAGTATCTCCATTCCCCACAAGCTAAGCATCTATCTGTATCAGCACTGTTGTTGAACGTACAAAACTTGCAGCCCCACGTCTTTGTGTTGTTTCTGTTCTTACGGTTCCCACAAGCTTCACAAATCAGAGCCAATGGCTGCAATTCGAGTTTCGAAAAGAAAAAGAGGATGTAAATATACCGAACTCTTGTTCGTTAAAAGTTTCTAATAGCTCTCTAGACTTTCAAAGTTATCTATTTAGTCTCTATACTTAAAAGACTCTAATAGGTCCTAGACTTTATACTCTCGATTTTGTGTCTGGTTAGGTCCATGTTAACTCCAACCGTTTAACTTTTAACGCCATCTAAAGTCTGACTACCATGTAATCCTTAAATAATAAAGTCAATATGTCATGTAAGTGTTAAACTCTTGGAATTTAGAACTAATTAGACACAAATTTGTAAGTTGATGAATCTATTTAGAAACTTTTTTTTAGTAGACATGGCCTTAAAAGTTTAGAGGCCTAGTATACAAGGACTAAATAGACACAACCTATAAAGTTCAGCATCAAACTTGTAATCTAACTAATCTTATAATGAAAAATAGCGATGGAAAGTTACCCGATTTAGAAGGGTACATGCACTGCACTGCCAATTCTCCATATCATCCATGGCTTCCTGATGAGGAAAGGAAGAAGTAGCAGATGGAATTTGGGATATAACAGGTGGTGCGGAAGCATTTGAGGTAGTTTGGGAGGATCCTGTGGAGGAACCCAAGTTCTTTGCTCTACCTGAATTGTTCTCTAAAGACTTGGACCCACACCACAAATCATCTTTCAATCTTCTTTCAGCTGCCATGGCAGCTGCTTGTATCGGACTAAGCACTGCCTTGATGTTGCTGTCACCACCTAAACGCTTAGGTCCTGATGGGCCGCCTCGGGCTCGATTTTCAGCAGCAGCTAAGGTAGTTTGCCGGAGGGATGATAAAGGTGGTTGCTGAGAGATCCCACCCAAACGTCTCCCATGAAGATCGAATCCTTGCCCGGTGCGCGTGATACCTTTACACATAAGTTCTTCACATTCCTGAATCAAAAGAAAGAATGAAAAGTGATTAGAAAAAGGCAGACCAAATTAAGTAGGCAGCCAAAATGACCTAACGTTCCATATGATGCCACTTAATTCCTTGAAGCTTATCACAATTTAGCAACAGTAAATTACAGAGCCTTTCAATCTGCCTATACAGCCATGGCTCATGTCACTTACAAAGTGAGAAATTTTGCTAAATGGCATACAAACTCCAACTCAAACACTGATAAGGATGATGAGAAATCATTTCTCTGTCAGGCATTTCTTAAGACGTATATACAACACATCAACATCAAGTTTCCTGTTATTTTGAAGTTAAGGCTAATGAGTATGGAAATAGTTCTTTCAATTGAATAAGGTAATTGAAGTAATTTACACACTTAGAAAACCAATCAACTAAAAACATAATGGCTTTAACTAAACTGGACAGAAACCAAAGAATCACCTTTCTGAGTTCATCTAGAAGGCTGTAGAAATCAGCATTGTGAGGACCATGTACAATGTGGCAAAGCTCATGGAGCATTGTGTCAAGAATTTGCTCATAAGGGAAGAAATCCCACTCGTTATTCGGTCTCCGAATTCTAAGTTTGATTTCCTGACCTCCCCCTATGTTCACCCCCATGAGACCTGGATTGGCAGGACTACAATTCAAATTCAAGATTAAGACACGGAGAACTAGAAAACAGAAAAAACCCAAATACTTCTAAATTAGAAGAGAATGGAAAAGTCAGTACTAGAACTCAGAAAGAGTTTCCACTTTCCATTTGCGTTTGCGCATGATAGGTTGCACCTGTTTAGCTATTTTCTCAAGAACTTTTCGAGCATCATCTTCCCCAATCTTCTTCAAAGGTTTGATTTCCCAAACCTTATTAAGATCGTTGAGATCCATTATGATGAGAAAAAGAGCTGCAAAAAACTCCATATGAAAAACATTAAGAAGATAATAAAGCAACGAAACGCAAGTTTAAGCAGCTAGATACACAATTGTTCTGCACTAAATTTAGACAGCAGAAAAGCCCTAAAACCTTGGAGCGACGAAGAAATTTGATCAAGAGATATCAACCCCGCAGCTATCTAATTAACGAAACTAAGCGACAAGATTAAAATCATCATCTCCGTAATCATTACCTATAAGAAATCAGTCCGAAAGCGAGAAATTTACAGAGCGGAGAAGATGTTCATCAATATGAACTGTAGAATTGTTCTGCAATTAATGGAACAAATTAGAATCTGCGTTTCGAAATTCAAACACAAAGTAGTCTCAAAGAATGCGAAACTACTAGTTCCATGTCCAATAGTTTTGAGAGAGAGAGAGAGAGAAGAACCTTGTAGAAGAAGAAAACTGCAACGAAATCCACTGCGAATCCAAATTTGCGTTGAAAATGACATAAAAATGGGGAAACTACGCATCAATGACAAGGGAAAAGTTCCTATCCTCAAAAGTTCATATTTACTTTCGTTTTTTGCATTTTTAGATTTTTGGTTTTGCATTTTAATTTTCACACATTTCATTTTATTTTTATTTTCCACATTTTTATTCTCACAGTTTTAGTTTTCTTGCATTTAAAATTTGTTGCATCCTTTAGATTTTTTTGTTTTTTCATTTTTTACATTTTATTTTCTAAATTTAGATTTTTGTATTTTTATTTTTATTTTCTGCACTTGACTTTATATTTATTTTCTGCATTTTAATTTTAATTTTAATTTTCTACATTTCAATTTGAATTTATATTTATTTTCTACATTTTAATTTTAATTTTCTGCATTTTAGTTTTTTCATTTGAATTTATTTTTATTTTCTAAATTTTAGTTCTTTGTATTTGAATTTTCTGCATTTAGATTTTTCTACATTTTATTTTCTGCATTCAAATTATTTGCATTTGAGTTTTCTCCATTTAAAGTTTCTATATTTTTAATTGTCTTCATTTTATTTTCTACTTTAAAATTTTCTATATTTTTTATTTTCTGCATTCCATTTTCTACATTTAAATTATATGAATTTGAATTTTCTATCTTTAAAGTTTCTGTATTTTTATTTTTTATATTGAAATTTTTTGTATTTATTTTTTAAAATGTTTGCATTTTCAACAATTTCTACATATTTATTTTTTTTGATTTTTCTGCATTTATTTTAACTTTTAACTTTTAAATTTTCTTAGTTTTCTATATATATATTTTTTATTTTCTACCGTTTCTGGCATTTTTTATTTTCTGAACTCACTATTTTTTTAATCTATTGTATTTTTTAATGTGTGCTAATATTTTATTTGAAAGAAAATATTATTAATATTTAGAAGTTTATATATGAAAAATATATTCATATTATTTGCAAATATGAATCATTTTTCTTTGGAATTGATGGCTAATGTTGTGCTTATGTTAATTTCTTATATAGACATGTTAAACCAGATGTATTTTGGACAAATTTTTAAAATAATCTAATTTTAAAAATAAATTACAAAATAATGTTAGTTTAAAAATAATAACAAAATAAATCTAATTTAAATAAATAAATTCAAAAGTAAGTTAGATTTTCAAAACTATTGATAAAAATAGGTTAGGTCAAAGTGAAAGTCAAAACTCGCCTACAATGCCTGCGATTTCCGTGCAAACATGTATATTTGACGCAGTTGACTAAGCGGAAGTTGGGTAAATGTACGCAACTTTCACCTTTTTATTTTTTATTTTTGAAAGTCGCATACATCGTACTCGACTTCCATATTTTTATTCTTTTATTTTGGAAGTCGCGTACATTATACGCGACTTCAACCTTTTTATTTTTTTTATTTTATTTCTATTTTAATTTTTTATGTTGTTATTTTATTATTATTGCTAAATTTAATTAAGATGTGATTAATTTTTTATTTTTTGTTATTATATTTTAAATTTTGATTAAAATGTCATTTAAAGTCTGAAAGTTTAAAATTAGATTAAAACCAATTCGATAATTAACATGTCATTCTTGTGCTCCGGATATGTTCTATAAAATAATATTTAAATTTAATATAAACTAAATTAATAAAAACATAAAAATCAAGATATAAATTACATGAATATACGTAATAATTCTTTAGAACAAATATAGAATTTTTGAGCATGGTACAAAGTCAATAACATATCTATTTAAATATTTCCCAATTTATTCTTTTTCTTGAATTCTGATTTTTTAAAATAAAATTTAACATTAAAAAAACAAAGTGGTAAGTCTTTTTCTTAAATTCTAGTTTTTTCTGAAATAAAATTAAAATTAAAAAAAAAACAAAGTGGGATCTTTTCTTTAAAATAAAAAAAATAATAAAAAAAGTGGGAAGTTGCAGCCACCATGTGGCTCGACCAACATCAAGGAAGGGTTGTGACTTCAGTGAAAATGCGGTCATTGACTGCGTTTTTGTCTTGAGTCGCGGGTGATGGCTGCGATTTACCTTGAAATCGTAGTCCATGCCTGCGACTTTGTTGAAATCATAGCCAATTACTGTGATTTAGATACCCTACTTTTGGAATTAGTTTGAAACCTACACTACTTTTGTTATTTGTTTTTAAAAAATAATTATTTAAAAAAATCCTACGTATTTTTTGAATTTATTTTTATTATCAATTGTTGTATGCCATAAGAATTCTCGATGGTATGTGAGAGGTGAAAGTACATTTCTTAGACTACAAATTAGGTAATTCAATCTCAATAGGTTGATTCATGAGAGTGATTTAGCATGTTTTGAGGATACTCGTATGAATAGGAGGACGTTTAGTATACTTTGTCATATGCTTAAGACAGTAGGTAAGTTCAATGCAAGTAAACATATTGAGGTAGAAAACATGGTGGAAATATTTTTACACGTCACTGCACATGATGTAAAAAATAGACTAATGCGTAGATATTTCTTACGATCGGGTGAAACAGTTAGTAGATACTTTAATGAAGTTCTGAATTCAATATTGCGTCTACATAAGTGTCAACTCAAAAAATCAGATCCTTTACTTGCAAGTTCATTTGGATGAAAGGTGGAGATTGTTTGAGGTATGAAATTGAAGTACTAAATTAAATATTTGTTGTTATTTAGAATGGGATAAAACAATTCTTTTTGTTTTTTCTGAATTGCTTGAGAACATTAGATGAGATATATATTAAAGTGAATGTTAGCGTCGTTGATATACTTCGATATAGAACAAGAAAAAATGAAATAGGCACAAAATAAACGATTGAAAGTTCTCAAATGTAGTAATTAACTACATCTATGTTTTGAATTCTAATTTATCTAATTAATCCCTTGAGTTTTTAAGATTTTATTACTTACATGATGCTTGGTATACAAATGGGGAGAGATTTTTAATACCATACAGAGGAAAACATTATCATTTAAATGAATGGCCGCAACATCATACACGAACATCGCTAGAGGAATTTTTCAACATGAAGTATTCTTTTGCAAGGAATGTAATTGAGAGGATTTTTGGCCCTCTTAAAGGAAGATAGGCTATTCTCATATCAAAGTCATAGTACCATGTAAAACTTTAATTTAGAATAATTGTTACCTATTGTTTGTAGGGGTGAGTATCGGTAAGACTGTTCGATCAGTATGACAACCCTAGAGGGGGGTGAATAGGGTTTAATTAAACTTTATAAACTTTTTACTACGGTGGGCCCAAATTTAAACAAATAAGTAAACTTTTTAGGAACAATTAATTTTATCACAAATTAAACAATAAATTAGAAATATAAATACCCTAATTAATTTCACCACCCAAATAATTCAAATATAAACATTGAGCATAAATATGAATAACAAATTCAAACAATTAATTTTATGCAATTTGTAATAAAGAAAATTAATTGCAAAAATTAAATAGAGTAGGGTTA